TTTAATCATTCCTAACTTGTACCATTTCCATGTGATAGAAAGGATAAAACAAAAAAAAAACCATCCTTGCCATTCATAGTTGGATGTTACAATGGCATCAAGAAGTGTTAAAAACTCATTGGAAAGATAACAACATTCCCTTCTGTCATAGGCAACTACTATAAAATTTACCACTTGAGTATAGTGGTTAACAGTTTCAGTGTTTGAGTTTAACAACTTCGGTATAAGTGTTAACAACACCATTTCTAGGAAAGATAATAAAAACCCATTTTTACAACTTGAGTATAGTGGTTAACATCTTCAATGTAAGCGTTTAATAACTTCAATATAGGTGTCAACAGCAGCATTTCCAGGAAAGATAACAAAACTGATTTTTACAACTCAAGTATAGTGGTTAACAGCTTCAGTGTAAGTGTTTAACAACTTCAGTATAAGTGTCAACAACAGCATTTCCAAGAAAGATAACAAAACCCATTTATACAACTTCTGTATAGTGGTTAACAGCTTCAGTGTATGTGTTTAACAACTTCTGTTATATAAGTGTCAACAACAGCATTTTCGGAAAAGATAATAAAAAGCCATTTTTACAACTTGAGTATGGTGGTTAACAGCTTCAGTATAAGCATTTAACAACTTCAATATAAGTGTCAACAACAGCATCTCCAAGAAAGATAACAAAACCCATTTTTACAACTTGAGTATAGTAGTTAACAGCTTCGATGTAAGTGTTTAACAACTTCAGTATAAATGTCAACAACAACATTTTCAAGAAAGATACTCCTCCGGTACTTAATATAAGAGCCATTTAACTAATTTGATTAGATTAAGGAAGTTAGTTAAGTTAGTTAATTATAAGAAATGTGACATGTTTTTCCTAAAATACCATAATCATCTTTTTTAATACCCTCTCTCCCTCTTCTACTTGATTATGATTGATGGAGTATTCATAAGGGTAATTTAGAGAAAATTGATAAATATGATAAATGGGTCTTATATTTAGGACCAAAACCAACTCAACAATTGGATCCTATATTAAGGACTGGAGGAGTAACAAAACCCATTTTTACAACTTTCATATAGTGGTTAATAGCTTCAGTGTGTGTATTTAACAACTTCAACTTCAAAAAATCTATATAATAAAATCCATCTACTACTTATTTAGTAGTAACCATCATCTTATAATTATGATCATCAATGTTCAAGCACCAATCCTAATTCTCCAGGCAACAAAAGTGGTTTTTCAAGACTTCCACATCTTATAATTATGATCATCAATGTTTAAGCACCAATTACCATTCTCCAATCAACAAAAATGGTTTCTCAAGACTTCCACAGTCCCATAATTTGGTCTATGCTACATTAATCATATCTATTAACTTTAAATTATTAGTCCAAACATTTTATCAAACACCTAGAGTGTATTCAATTTGACAAGCTCAAGGATATTCCTCTTAAAATCACAGTCCCAAACTTCATACATTACAGCTATAATCCAGCTCTACGTAATCGCCAAACCTTGATAAAACTCAAATCAAAAAGCAATTGGAGGAAAACCAACAATTTCCCAATCCACACGTACAACACAATAGAGAAGGAAAAATTAAAAAAAGCAACACTATGGGAAACCAAGGAAGAAGAAATATTAGAACATATCCTACACAACTCATATATAAGAGAAGGAAAAGAGGTATGACATTCGCCCACTACCCATTAACAAACACGGCAAGGGAATGTTAGACAAACTTACCTCTGTCTCAGCACAAATTGCTCCTCTTCGCTCTTCTTCCCCTTTTATACTCCCATAATGTATCCTTTCGGTCATTCTTTTCTTTTCTCTTCTTCGACTGCTCCCTTCCTTCTTCTCTTCTCTCTTCTTCCACAGCAACAGCTTCCTCCTCCGCTCTCTTCTCCTCTCTTCTTTGTTCTTCACGCAGTCAATTTCAACCAATGATGACAGTGTGAGAAAACCGCGCCTCTCTCCCCCCGCTTTTGTTTCAAATAATATAGAGGGCAGTTTCATCTTTCCATTTAACATGATAATCCCAATTTGGTCTCATGTGATCAAAACGGGATTTCTTAAATTCCGGTGATGTTTTTGGCATTATGAAGTTTATTTGTCATTTTTCTGTCATTTTCCCTAAATAATAGTAAAATTAAGTAAACAATGCTAGATCATCTTCAAGCTTATTTTATGTTTTGTAGTAAATATACATATTTCTTAAACATTTGCTTAATAATATTTCTTTTCCAATACTATAAGATATAAACATGCATCAAATACAATTAAAATAGAATTTATAACAAAAAAGTGGGATGTTGTTGATTTGACCCTACTTATAATCCTAAGCCTCTAATATCTAACCCTCTAATTTAAAAAAAAATCAATTAGTAATTAGTAGATTGTCTCTCAGAGGATACCTATACCTAGTAAAAAAAAATTAATTAATAATCTTTAATTTTAATTTTAGAAAATTCAAGACAAATGACCAACTACCCGTTCTTATTTCTACTCTCTTTTCTTTCGCAAACATGAATTATGAAATACGGTGTACCAGATCCACCATACCAAAATCCATATAGCTATGGCAAACCGAGCCCAAAGTAAACAAACAAGCCTGCAAATTTACACATCTGGCCCAATACAAAATCATCAGTAGTTGTCCAATTTAATTTCTGCTCAAGAAACCAACAGAAGTTAAGTTTAGCAGAAGGGGTTAGTTTCTCACGACGTAACGAACCAAGATTCAAGCCCTTGCTAAAAAAGCTACCCAACAGTGCCTTAAACACAATTACCTCTAACAAGAGAATACATATGTCTTGCAAATAGACAATTTCCAATTCACGGTGTGAATATTTAGAATCCAAATATTTGTAATCATATTTTCAAACTCAAATCTACTGAAACATATATAAAAGTCATGAAAATGATTTAAAATAGTAAACTTCGTCCACAGATTAAGTGAAATCCTCCTTAACGTGGATGGCTAAAGCAGAGAGCACGGATGGTCCCGAGCTTGAGAATCCAAAGGTTGACAAATGGAAATACAACAACAACCCCAAGTGTGGTTGCTTAAATCGATTGCATAGTAATATTGTGTTTTATCAACAACCAAATATTTAGATAAATTGTTAATTAAAAGATCTCACTTAATAACTTCATTAAGTGTTATTTTCAGCTTTTATTCTTTTCAAGATGATTCCATATTATTTGATTAGTTTTCCTCACTAGCACATCCAATGACATTCTTTGAAAGGTTAACAAATAGAAGTAGTACCCAAAAAAAAAAAGTCTCCATGAGCTATGTATTTTATATTTTACGGAGGTATCTGTGATTCTCAAGGACAAATATTAAACAATTGATCTAGTGAACTTGAGGTACTTATCACTAATCAAATCAATACATGTGCATTTCTTTATTCATGATTTACCCTTTAAATAGCTTTTATTATTAACATTTTCTTTTTATGTACATTTAAAATTAACTTGTTCTAATTTAATTAGATGAAAGTACATTAAATATATGAGATTAAAGGCGTCTAAAGTTTTGTGTTTATATTAATAGGTGAGCACAATCAGCAAATCAATGTCTCCGATCTGTCTGTCATATGAGTGATATGATTAGGGTTTGGGAATTGGGACCACAAAGGATATGATTGGCATCGCAATCACAAGATCCCTAACCCCAGCCTTCAAAAGCAAGGACACCATTCCCATATGATACCAACCATTACCTTTTGCCTTTTTCTTTTGTGGAAAACAATTACCTTTATTTTGTCTCAAATATTTCATCAAAGGACCATTTTTACAACTTTCAACTGATTAGATCATTTGATTTTAGTATATCCAGGGGTGCAAGAGCATAAAGGAGAGACACAACAATATGACTGTAAAGCACTTTCTTTAAACTCTAATGATTTTAGAACCAAAAGCAAGCCAATTAAGCAAAAGAAAAAAAAAAAAGAATCTTCAGTACATACACTCTCTAAATCTAAATATAAGCTAGTTAAGTGATTTGATTTGGTCTTACAATACAAAGTCCCCACTTTGTCCAGCAAATTTAACTTTTTTCCAAACATTTTTTATTGATAATATATATTAAAGGGGATATTATGAATGAAAGTAATGATTAAATGAGGGGCTTTTAGGGGAAAAAAACACACACTTGCTAACATTTGCTATAAATAACTACCTCAATTAGCTATCTTAACTTCCTTAATGCTAGTCTCTGCCCTCCTTGAAATTGGCACTTACATCATTTCTCTCCGCCTTGGTTTGTTGTCATGGTCTTGCTGTTTTTTTTTTTTTTGGGGCCAAAATGGTCTTGCTGTTGACTGTTGTATCTTTTTTATTCCTCAGCTTGTTGGAAGCTTTGATTTGGTCGTTTAGGTAGTTTTAATAATTGTATTTAAAATTATTATGTTCTGTCTTGTTAACTTTTTGAAGTGGGTGTCTGGTATATGCCGTTATTTTATGTGTTTATGTACTTCCCTTTATACATACAACATAATACTCATCCGATCTTTAATATAAGACTCATTTAACTAATTTGATTAGATTAAAGAAGTTAGATAAATTAGTTAATTATAAGAAAAGTAACACATTTTTCCTAAAATACCATAATCATCTTTCTTAATACCCCATCTCCCTCTTCTACTTGATTATGATTGAGAGAGTATCTATAGAAATAATTTAGAGAAAATTAATAAATATGAGAAATGAGTCTTATATTTAGAACCAAAATCAACTCAAGAATTAAATCTTATATTAAAGACCAGAGAAATACTATAATTTGGTTATTTCATAAAAAGAAATACTAACTTCCCCAATATATCTAACTCAGTCATTTATTTTCTTGCTGCATTTTATATTTCATGAATCAACACAGCCGCTGCTTCATTTGCAAGACAACTTGCGAAGGGGTCATTGCACTGTAACCAATTCACATTATGAACTTACAAATCTCGAGTCGTCAAATTTTTCAGACCATAAACACCCTAAATTGATCTCCAGAGAGCAACTGACAACTGATTCATAAAAGCCCAGAGTGTATGAACGCAAATTGACCATAATATAGAATTTCTCCATACATTTAACTATTAAAATTAATGTTCCAAGGGCAAAAACACCTTCAAATATGCAAATTTAAGCAAAAAAATGAGAAGCACATATTAAAAAATACATCACTCCTTTGCTACGGATAAGCTCTTGGAAAATCCATGGATGAACAAAGGCAATAAATGCCTCTTAAAACAACTTTCTGCCCACCGCTATGAACCAGAGTACCATACAATCAAAGCTCAGACTACCCTCCAATGACCGACACCAAAAACCAACTAAAGCAGATAATAATTCGCCATTAAAGCATCTTCAGAACTTAGAAGCATTTCCTGTGGACAATGGATGGACCAGACTCATCGTATTCACCCTTGGATATCCACATCTGCAATAACACCATGTGTTAGAGCTCAACTGACATGACACAGATTGTTAAGAGAGATGAATTAATGAGAAAATGTTTACCTGCTGGAAGGTGCTGAGGGATGCAAGAATTGAACCTCCGATCCAGACACTATACTTTCTCTCTGGTGGAGCCACCACCTTGATCTTCATGCTGCTTGGAGCAAGTGCGGTGATTTCCTTGCTCATTCGGTCGGCGATACCCGGGAACATGGTTGATCCACCACTGAGAACAATGTTGCCATAGAGATCCTTTCTGATATCCACATCACACTTCATGATAGAATTGTAAGTGGTTTCGTGGATTCCAGCAGCTTCCATTCCAATCATAGATGGCTGGAAAAGAACTTCTGGGCAACGGAATCTCTCAGCTCCAATTGTAATAACTTGTCCATCAGGAAGCTCGTAGTTTTTCTCCACTGAAGAGCTGGTCTTTGCAGTCTCAAGTTCTTGTTCATAGTCTAAAGCAACATATGCAAGTTTCTCCTTCATGTCACGGACAATTTCCCGCTCAGCAGAGGTGGTAAACATATACCCTCTTTCAGTGAGGATCTTCATCAATGAATCAGTTAGATCACGACCAGCAAGATCCAAACGGAGAATAGCATGAGGAAGTGCATATCCCTCATAAATTGGTACAGTGTGGCTCACACCATCACCAGAGTCCAAAACAATACCAGTTGTACGACCACTGGCATATAGGGAGAGAACAGCCTGAATGGCTACATACATGGCAGGAACATTAAAGGTCTCAAACATGATTTGAGTCATTTTCTCCCTGTTGGCCTTTGGGTTGAGAGGAGCCTCGGTGAGAAGCACTGGGTGTTCCTCAGGAGCAACACGCAGCTCATTGTAAAACGTGTGATGCCAAATCTTTTCCATGTCATCCCAGTTACTAACTATACCATGCTCAATGGGGTACTTCAAAGTAAGAATACCTCTCTTTGACTGGGCTTCATCACCTACATATGCATCTTTCTGACCCATCCCAACCATAACACCAGTATGCCGGGGTCGGCCAACAATGCTGGGAAACACAGCTCTGGGAGCATCATCACCAGCAAATCCAGCCTGCAGATATGGAGCATATTTTAAAATATTAGTTGAGCTATGAAGCCAAAATTCATTGATATGTAGATGCAAACAACTCGACAAGTAAATAAAGATGCTAACCTTCACCATTCCGGTTCCATTGTCACAAACAAGGGGTTGAATATCCTCAGCATCGGCCATCTTTTACTAACCTGGAGAAAATATATGATGGCGTCAAACAAAGTCAGTAGTTCACAGACACGAAAGCATCCACAGCATTGGAGATCAGTTTTACTCAGAATATAATCATGTTTAGGTCAGTTACACGCCAGACGAACCAATATTTTATATTTTCAGAATTTGGAACATATTTCCGTTTAAAAGCTGCTCTTGAAACAGGAGTATTATTATCCGGGAGTTCGTAACTTTTAAATCAACCATGGTTTATGTCAAGGGAAGCTCAATGATCAGATAATGAGAGAGATTCAAAGCCAAGAAATAAACCAGCACACCAAAGTCAGTGATCAAACCAAAATCCTCTCGAATGTATCGAAATAAACCACTTTTATGCAAAATGGAAACAATCGACAGCATGATAAAGCTATCTGCAAAGAAAAATCCACTATTTCGACAGGAAAGTAGATCTCAAGTCTTAACTACAATAGATCAAGTAAAATGGCAAGCATCACCCAAAAAAATTGTAGATCGACTACATCTAACCGATAATCGAAGTCCACTTTAACAATCAGATCAGACGATTTACGAGAATGAAGAGAAAGAAAAGAAAATCTGCCATGATTCAGCATAGATGAGAAACAATTTGAGCAGAAACAATATCTACCGAAGAAAAATGAAAATAAATTATCACCAGTTGAGAAATCTGTCAAAAGCAAAGGGCAAAAGGAAACTCATTTTGTACTAGTTAATCATTTGAAACTAAAATGAAAAAGAAGAAAGTACAAAATGAATCGGGCGGGGAGACCGAGATATAAACAAAGAATCACCTTAATTAGAGAGAAAATAAACGCAGAAGATGATGGAGTAGAGCAGGAAGGAAGCCCCAGAAAATGGTGGGATGGGATTCTAGGGGAGTCTGCTCAGCAAGAAGAGTGTAGCCTGAGAAACAGAACGAAGAATGAGAGAGGAGAGGGAAAGGAGGGGGATATATATCTATAAAGAAAGAGAAGAAAGAAGGTGTGCGGAATAAAATAAAATAAATAAAAAATTCAATACAGATTTGAAATTGAAATTGGGTTGGGACCAAATTTGAACAATTTCAGAATTCAGAGTAAAATCATTGGCACCACCAGCAAAGACAGGCCTCTCTGCCTCATGACCTTTTTTTAACCTCTTCATCAGATTATCCCATAATGATGTCGGCTTAAACTAAGCGCCTAGCGAGTGGCTTTTCTCATTGGCTCGGCTCGGCCCACTCGGCTTCGCTCCATCACATTTCAAATTAAGCTTTTGAGGGGGCGAGCAATCCAATGTTATCTTACCAGTTACCACTTGGCTTGGCGTAATTAAAATATTTTTCCTAAATAGGGCGTAAATAATTTTTTTCTGGCATCAATAATTTAGAATTCTTAAACTTATAATTTAGCGACAATATAAATTCTTCAAGTAATAGTAATTCATAGTTAATGTTAAAAATTGTGGGAAAAAAATAAACTAATACCCCCCTCATTCATTGATGCTCTGTTATCCTTCCTAATTGTAACATTTCAAAATCTGTTTTAAATTTAAAGAAAATAATTACACACTTTTTTAATGTATAAATCCTATAAAATATTTTTTTACAATTGAAAGATGTATATTTTATAATACATATATGTATATAATTTCAAATCAATTCATCGCAGTAAAATGAAATTTTGAAATGCTTGTAATTTTATAATATTGCCTCCATTTTTAAAAACAAAAAGAAAAGAAAAGAAAAGCTACCTCAATTAACCTAGCTAGTCGCTAAGATATTTTTCCCCAAGTACAGTTGGTCAGGACGGGATTTAATCTTGCCATCTCGTAGGTACCAAAAAGCTTAATAACCATTCAACCACTAATGCATCTAAACAAATTAAACACATTTGATTTACAATTTTTGTTTAGCATGATTCTTTAGTTATTTATTACTGTAATAGTATAACAATTACTAATCATATTTTTCAAATTTTAAACTTGTTAAAATAAGTGAATAAAACCCTTCATTTTGATATTTACGATTTTTGTTTAATAATTTACTACGCTTCATGAGTTATTCACCATAATGATATAGAAATTGACAATCACTTTTTTCCAAATTTTAAACTTTTTAAAATAAATGAATAAAGCCACTCATCCAGATAATTCCTAATTTTTGTTTAGTAATCCACTACATTTTATAACTATTTGCCGTAACAATATGGCATCTGACAATCAATTTTTTCAAATTTTAAACTTGTTAAAATAATGAATAAAACCCCTCCTTCTTAGGCTTCTAAATTATCACTCATTTCTATTTAAATAGGGACATAGCTTGAAAGTTATTGAATTTTTCACACAAAAATAATAAGATTTAAGAGTTTCATATTGATTTCAGTAAAACATATTGAGAATGACTTGTAAAAAGAATCAAATAAGCACCTTGCAATTTTTTTTTTCCTTCCAAGAATTTTGGGCCAAAAATAAAATTAATAAAGAAGTGGTTAATAATAAAATATGATAAGGAAGCAAAAAGGGAAAAGAGGAAGAATCTATAATGAAGAAAAGCTTTTGGAAAAAGTGGGAGAAATTTTAGCTGGCAATATTCGGAAATGAGACACATGCTTGGTTGGCTCCTAAAATTGATGATGATAATGTGAAAGCAGACCCTCTGATTATTCCTCTGCCTCTTAAAGGCCTTTGCATGTGCCTACACGTGCTATCTAGCTATTCTTACAGCCATTCCCCCTTCTTCCATGCCATTTTCATTTGGGTTGCTGGCCTGTGGTTGCCGCCTACATAATACATAAATCATTCACTTATCTTTAACCATTTTAAGTATAAATTACAATATACTGCTTCATGTCTTAAATATAAGAGTTAATTAAAAATTTAATTTAGTTCCAAATGTAATACTCTAATCCATCCTATTTCCAATGTTTATCTATTTTGTTATCAAATAATTCATATAATGATTGCACATATTAAGGAGCGTTTATCAAGAGATAACTCATATACACATAATTACCAGTGATATACTCCTCCGTCTCTTATTATAAGATCTAATTTTTTAAATGGGTTTGTCTCTTTTCATAAGATCCTCTTTGAGTTTGTTTGAGTATTTAATATATTATTACCTATTTTACCCCTAATTTAATATATTTAATACATTTTTTCTTCATTTATCTTACCATTACTCTCTCACATTCACCTATATATATAGAGATATATTTGAAAAAAAAATTACATTTACTACATATTAATTATTTTTAACTAATTTTAACTGTTTTCTTAAACCACGTAATTTAGTTAAAAGGATTTATAATAAAGGATGAAGGGAGTATTGGAGAAGGCAATATACATTTATTACAAATAGTCTATGATTAGTTAAATAGTATATTACAAATAGTATAGGATCTTATAACCCATTTTTTTAATATTCACATATTAGTTATCTAACTCTTATATTAAAAACTGGAGATAGTATATGATTTTGTATGAAATTCACATATTATACATTTACCCTCGTGGTTATTTTTTTCAAGTGATTTCAAATATATATTCTGCATTTGTCTTGTTTTTATGAATATAGAGACGTCAATCAGTAAAAATTGGTTTAGTTACAGTAAAGATCGATTCCATACCTTACAAGATTAAAGTCGACTCTCTATATTTTTATTGTTAAATATTTCCTTTATCTTTGTTTACCTCTTCTGATTTGGATTTCCATTTCGTTCCCGTTGTTCTTTCTAAATTTCAGTAATGTATAATTATTATTTGTTTTTTAATGACATTCTTATTAAAGATAGTTATGATTTAAAACAGTGTGGCATTAATTGGAGTGCAAGACTGAAAAAGAAAAAATTATTATTATTATTACACAGTCACACCAGCACATAAATTTTACTTTCTCCTTAATTTGTGTGTTTTTTACCATACAAACAAGTAACTAGTGAAGGAGAGAGTACTTTGCTAATAGATAAATAATCTACGAACATTTTCTTTAAATGTTTTTCCACTGCAGGACCTATTTTCGTCCAGATGATTTCTCACAACCCCAACTCACCATTTTTTCAATCAATAGGATTCTTTGTCAATTACATGAACTAATTTTTTTTTCCCAAAGACTAAAAAGAAGCATCATCCCAATAAATCTATGCATATCCGAGAGTTAGGATTTGTAATTACTTGTTCAAAACAACAAGCCACTCATAAAGAAAATTGACTTGATTAACCGCCAAGCGGTTTAGATAGACTAACAGGAGTCATTCCAAACTTAACAAAGAATTTTAAGTTCTAAACTTGAAATGGTCCTATCAAGTCTTGAATTTAGATTGGTTTGGGTTCATAAAGTTTCCAGTAATAAGGGGTCAGCCTAGCACATCAGGGGCATAAAAAAGACTTGGTCATCAAAATTCATACTCATATTTATATTATCTTTTTTTTTTTGAGAAAAAAAAAGTGGATTGGAATCCATTAAATGATGCTTCAATGGAAGTTTTAATATTGCCATAAGGGGTTGAATATCGGGACCTTATCTGAACTTGTCAAACCATACAAACATTTTGCCCACACATGCCAACACTTGTCCGGACCTTGTCCAAACTTACCAAACTATACAAGCACCTTGCCTATACATAACAATACTTACCCGGACCTTGTCCAAGCTTGCTAAATCACAGCTATCTTTTGAACATAATTAGTATCAAGTTAGACTTTTTAAGACATTTTGGACCCCTCCTTTGACATCTCCTTGCACCCTAAAAAAATAGGGGAATTGTTGAACTTTGTTGATTTATTTTGGTGAGAAGAATCATAAATGGCGCTGAGAACGGGGTTAATATGATTCAAAATCCACAATTTTATAAGCGTAAAAAAAAATTCAAATGAAAGAAGAAGAAAAAAAGTGAACTAGAAGCAAAGACTCAATGATGAGTTGTAGACATATGGGTAGCTTGAATATAACTCATTGGGATGAATACACAGTAGCATTTTTATTGGCATGTTCCTTGGAAGTCTCATAGATCAGTTCATATCATACTGTGCTGGTTGGTACATACAAGGATCGTCCAAGTCATCCTATCCATGATTCATTCAGTCCTTACCTTACCAACCTTTCCCTACAAGAAACATATCACCCAAAAAGGTTTCTTCCTAACATTAAAAATCAGATCAAATTAATTATTAAATGTCAAATAATGTATGTAACTAATTAAAGATGCGTGATGGAGTGAATTAAGGTGGATGAGGAGTCCTAGGTTGTAAGGGAAGGGAAGGATGTGTAGTTTGGTGTACATACACACACACACACGAATCAATGAAACACCAAACAAGTAAAAAAGAAAGATCCTCCCTTCTTCTTCTTTTTTTTTTTTTTTTTGCTACAAGAGAGAGAAAAGATCGTCCCTTCTTTAATAATTGAGTGGGTTAGAAAAGGGTTTGATACCCCTTAGTGAAAGGTGTAATATTATGAGAGCTAATAATAGTTGAATTTAGCTGATTAGTTGGTAGTACCACTCTTAAATAAAGCCAGGCGTTTGAATTTTACGAGGGAAAATTAATCATTTGATTTTTCTGGTTTTAATTTAACTAAACTCAATTTATGAATTTTAATTCGGTTCAACTCAATTTCAATAATTTTAACTTGATTATAACTTAATGTTTGAATTTTGACCCAATACAACCCAATTTCTATAATTTTAACAATTTGAAATGCTAGACCTTACATTTTAAAATAATAAAACTATAATAAGGATGAGAATGATTTCGTAAAGATTAGGAGCTAATGTTCTGAACGGTAAATTATAAGAAATTATAAGAATTAAATTACACTAACTCAAAGCTCCTGGGTTAACTTTTAAATGAGTCAAAATTATAGAAACTATAAGTTACACCAAGATAAAGTTTATGAGCTATGTTCTAATCCGGTTAAAATAATACAGAAAAATGAAAAAAAAAAAATTAATACCATATTTGGTAATAAAATTTGATCTT